ATCAAGCCTTTATCTGAATTAGAACGGGTAGGAAGGAATTGATAGGGAGAGGATCTCCTCCTCACAAAATCTAGACAGCAAGCCTAAGCTGAGGCCCAAACTCTCCTATTATTCGAAAAACAAATTTCAGAATTTTCAACAAAGCATTATGAGAGGAGTTCTCAGGGTGAGAGGGAAGAGAGAATGGCAAAATAGCTTCAGGTCTTTTTTTTTTTAATTCAAACCTGAGAGAAATTAGTTATCAAGGTCTTCGAGAAAGGTGTTGGAGGTGAGAACATAAGGCTTCACATTCAGTGAAGAACTTTGGCTGAAACGTGGGGAGCTTTCTCTAAAGAGGCTTAGTAATAAATTAGGAAATAAAATCCTAATTATCATTACAGGGGCCGGTGGTTTTCCAAAAGCACAAGGAGGTTAATTATTCCTAATTCCTTTAATTTTATTAGGGAGCAATTTAGGATTAAAGTTAAGAAGAATTCGGTCAGGTGAGGTTTCAAATTGTTTCCAAAGAGGTTGGAGAACGATTTAGGAATAATTTTGATTATCCAGGAATTGATTTCAGAACTCACGGATTGAGAGGGAAATGGGGAATTTAATTTCCAAATTCCAACCAGATTTTAGGGAAAAAATTAAGAGGTGGGGCTTGAGGAAATATCGGCCAAGCAAGAAGGATATAGTCTCATTGATTTGCATTTAGGAATTAATGATGGTGATTTAATGTTCCTTAGATTTTGAATTTAAAATTCAATTGAATTTAGAATTCAGTAATGGGGCCGTTTGCTTGGTGGGAGAGAATTATGAAGGCAATCAATGCTTTCTAAAAATAATAAATTAAATTTGGGAATGATGATATCATCCCAATTTAATTTAAAATTTAAATGGGCTTTGATTAAGCAAGTTTCCTAAAATAAGAATTATAAATTAAGTAGCTTTATTTGAATTTGAATAATTAATAGAGTTACCTAAAATATGCAAACCAATTTAGGAAAGTCTTGATGGTACGTGGAGATGGGGAGGAGGGGGAGGTTGACCGGCGGCTAGAGCATTGGAGCCGGCGGCATTGAGGGTTCGGGTAGGGTGGTGTGGTCGTGGGGTTGAGAGGGGAGGAGGAAGAAAGACGATGGCTAGGAACAAAAGAGGGAACCAAACAAAAAAAACAAAGAAAGATAGAAGATAAAATGAAAGAGAGAAAATAAAAGCCGCGAGCCTTGGACTCTTCCAAAGACGGACGTGTGATGCTTTGCCCTTCTCCAAGGGACTTCAATTCATGAGCCTGGACCCATCCTGCGGCTGGTGTAAACCTCTCCGATTCCTCCCATAGGAATCTCACTAACGCTCTCTCACAAGAACACAAGTGTGGACACAAATTTTTAATATCAATTATTCATCCCCATTATAATAGCTTAAGGCCCTATATATAGGTCACAACATGAGAACAAAAATCAAAATTACAAAATTGCCCCTTGGGCCACAACACTCACATAAACTATCATAGGGGTAAAACAGGAAATTCATCAAATAAGAATTAAAATACATAAAATAACTCATAATTGAAAATTTCAATAATGGTCGTCGACTTACGACGCCGCCTGTGATAGATGCGTCAAATCTTCGTACCGATGTCCGCATCATTATCCCACTACATGGTGTTGGTAACTTGAATCCTTTTTCTCTATTGTGTCTGGTTAAGAATCAAATTTTGATTCAAATCTAATAAAAAAAAGTCATTTCTACTACTTTCTAACTAAGTCTTTTTAGGTCTAACTATCTTTCTTAACATATGTCAAGTCTAAGTCTAATATATCTACTTTCCTAATTGGGTCATCAGAAGGCCAATATTTTATGTGACCAAACCCTCTCTCTAATCTTATCTGCCACTGAAGCTACTCTAACCTTTTCAAATATATACTCGTTTCACATGCTATCTCTAAGAGTAAAGCCATCCATCCACCTAAGCATCCTTATCTCAACAACACTTAATTTTATGTTTCTCTTTTAATGGCCAACATTCTACACCATAAAACATTGCAAGTCTTACCACCATTTTATAGAATTTTTCCTTAAGTTTGAGGGGTACTTTTCTATCACACAATAAGCCTGATGCATTCCTCCACTTCAACCATTCAACTTGAATTATACTAAGAATATCTCCATCTATTTAACTATCACTTTGAACAATAGGCCCGAGATATCTAAAACGCGTACTATTTTTAATGGCCTGATCGTCCAAAGTCACAAACCCCATCAGATATATTACTACTAAAATTACACTCAATGAGTCTGATTATTTTAGCTTGACTAAGATATATAAAAATAAAATTAAGTAATTTTGCTGCATGGTTTTATTGATTTAATATTTGAAGAAATTAATGTAATTCAACTTTTGATTAATTGGTTTTACTGAAGTAACAGATAGAATGAATAATAATTGAACCGATATTTCAACAATTGAACAAAATCAACAAAATAAGACCTGTTTGGTTCAATTTGTTGGTTTTATCCAAACAATACCACCCTTAAGTATACCAATCTCAAAATATTTTCTACTCTTTATTATGTCTTGCTTGTTTTTGCTTGGATCTCCTCTTCCTTGCCTTCATCTTTGCTCGTAGAAGCCTACTTCCTTGGCCCTCCGCTCCAGCAGAAGGAAAAGAGGAGAGAAGAGAGGGAAATTTATGGGATGACTAAAGAGAGAGGGAGGGAGGATTGTAACTGAAATTTGCTTATACTATTTATAGGAATAAGACGTACATTATAAGAAACTTTAAAAATAGGAGAGAGAAGCTAAGGTTCCTCTTTGAAATAAGAAACATTCCTTGAATTAAGCCATCCTTTTTCTTATTTTGAAACTTCTCTTTCTCTTGATTTTCTTATCAATTCTAGAACGATAGTGTGTGTATAGGCTTTTCTTGAAGAAAGGCCTCTAATAATGAGCAAGGTAATCGATGTTCAACAATAAGATCTATGTTCTCATGATTAGTATTTATGTATTATGATTTAAGTCTTACTGAGAAAGGGAGAGTATATTTTTTTGAAGAATGTTTGTTTATCGCTCTTATTCCTTCTTGTAATAGTTTGCATAAGTTTCCGTCTTTGCTTTTGATTTTGCTTCACATCAAATTGGTCCATCATCAAGAGAAGATCCTTCATGTGCGATTGCTTTTTCTCCTCAAATCCCTTTCACAACATAAATTTGAATTATCTATGTTTTAAAAAAAAATTATCTTAACAAGCAGTTTCCCTATATCACAGTTCAGAAATACCTCCATTGTGTTTCTCTTGTGTTTATCTTTTAATGTTTTTAAACAAAATAAAGGAGGTTGCTATTTGCACTATTGATACGCTATAACATGCACTATTTCTTTGGATTTTAGGGTTTAAATAAAGCATATTATGTTATTTTTAACTATTTTACTATTCATTATTATGATTTTTTTTTGTGTGCAGTGTTTCATTTAAAAGCTCCTAGATCCCTACAGTTGGTTTCATGTATAATCCTACTAGGTTGATCTCTCGCGCAAATTCTTGAGTGAGCAAGAAGTAAGAGTTGCTTGAGTGAAAATGCGAAGCTACGAAGGAGATCTCATAGGCTAAGCCTGCTCCAAAGTTTCAATCTCTCGTCGACTCAACTCTTTCTTGAGTCTCGATTTCCTCTATAAGTCAAACAAAATCATATATGCAGCCAAATGTTGAGCTCCTTTTCATCTCCGAACACAACCCTCTCTCATGCAAAAGAACAAAGGAGCTCCTATTTGGGTTGAATGCAGTCATTTCTCGAGTCAATAGGACCCTCTTGATTCCTACCTTTAACCATTTGAATATTCTCTGCTAGAAGTCACAAGTATATCTTCTCATCTAGAAATCATCCCTTTTCTCTTTATCTATAGAGAGCAACATTTCCTGTAATCATGCTTATTTTTCATCTTTTATTAATGTGATTGTATCATAGCATTTTCTTTTCGTTAATTTAACTCGTTTTATTTTTTTTATTCGTTTTACTGTAACCTATTTATTAGTTGTTTACATTTGATGATGTAATTAATTTTATGATCTAGTTATCTTTCTTAAACCTTCATGTACATTAAATCAATTTCATATTTTAAGTATATGACTTAATCATCAATAAATTATTTGTTATTCTTCTATTTTTTTTGCGTTACATTTAGAATAGTTGTGTTGCATCATATGCCATGCTCTATGGCTCTATGGAATCTTTGCAATATGTTATGTTTTTCATTTTTTATCAAGTATAGTCTTATAAAATTAATGATTTTTAAATAGTTGAATCTCTGTTTTATGTAGACAATCTCCAAATAGCTAGGATATTCTTGATGATGATGTTTTTTATCTAAATAGGACTGTAGAACCAATTTTACCTTCCTGCTTTTTGTTCTAAAAAGCGATCATATATTGTAGCTTTTATGGAACTGTCCAGAACTGTTATTAGAGGCACGAGAGATGATATTCATATCTAGTTGCTGAATCATTTAATCCTACTTCATCTTTTCTTCTTAAGCTTACCATTTACTAGGAAAACATTTAGTTTGTTTGTTAAGTTTTTCCACACATTCTTATTTTCTTTAAGTTTTTGATATTAATTTCTTGATTAAAGAATTGCTTTTTGGAGATTTTTTTTCTTGCATGTATTTGCAAGAAGGTAGATGGATGGAGCAATAGAGATCCCTTGTCGTCCTATGATCATAAGTTCAGACAATTATTTCAGTTTAATTATTCTGATTTTGCCACCGATTGGAGTTTTAGTGTTAGCATTAAAATCTTAGGAATTTTAAAATCTAAATATTTAATTATAAAGGTAAAAATTTGAGGATTTCCTTCGTTTTGTATATTTCCCTCATTTGAGGAATGTAGAAATATAAATATTTTATTTATTTATTATAACATGCAATGTTATGAAATGTAGAAATATAAAAATTTAATTATAATAAAAGTATAGATGTAAGATCTTAGGAATGTAAAAATCTAAATATTTAATATAATCATAGGTTTGGGATCGTGAAAAGGTAGTCATAATACCAGATCACTACATTTTCACAAGTGATGAACGTGCAAACCGAAATGTGGATATCTTGAGGGATTTCTGTTTGGAGCAAAACATCAAATACTTCTATGATATTAAGGATCTTGGAAATTTCAAGGTATTGTTTCTTCTTCTTTGTTCTTTTGCATTCATTTTGTTGAAGAGTTTTAAGCGTAACTCTCCATTATAACTTGGCAGGCTAATCCGGATTATAAAGGTGTTTGCCATGTTGCGCTTGCTCAGGAGGGCCATTGTAGACCTGGCGAGGTACATGCCATATTTCATCTGGTTTAATGTTATGCAATTCATTTCGGCAGCCTAATTTAGTTTTTGTACATGCAACTAGGTTTTGCTTGGTACGGATTCTCACACTTGTAATGCTGGTGCTTTTGGCCAATTTTCTAGTGGAATTGGGAACACTGATGCAGGCTTTGTCATGGGCACCGGAAAGCTTCTACTTAAGGTTTGTAAATGCTTTCTTCATGCCAAACATTTTGTGCTATTTCCATGTAATGAGCTACTCTACAATTTATTATTTCTATGTAAAATCTTCAAGCTTATCTAATAAATAATTAAGCTGTTCTAGATCAACTCATTAATAAGATTACACATTTTAGATATATTGGGTCTATTGTTCAGAGTGATGGTGAAATAGATGGGAATATTATTAGCAGAATTCAAGTTTGATGGTTGAAGCGGAGGAATGCATTAGGCTTGTTGCGTGATAGAAAAGTCCCCTAAATTTAAGGAAAAATTCTATAAGATTGTGGTGAGATCTGCAATGCTTTATGGTGTAGAATGTTGACCATTATAAGAGAAGCATAATATTAAGTTAAGTGTTGAAGAGATGAGGATGCTCAAGTGGATGAGTGGCTTTACTCTTAGAGATAGCATACGAAATGAGCATATACGTGAAAAGGTTGGAGTAGCTCCAAGCCTCCAATGGAAGATAAGATTATAGAGAGTCGCCTTAGATGGTTTGGTCATATAAAATGGCAACCTTCCGATGACCCGGTTAGGAAAGTAGATGTATTAGATTTTTGCTTATGTTAAGAAAGGTAAAGGTAGACCTTTTTGTTAGAAAATATTAGAAATGACCTTTCTTTTTTAGATTTAATGAGAATTTGACTCTTAAAAGGACATAATGGAGAAAAAAGATTCATGTATCCGACTCCACGTAGTGGAATAAAGGATTGATGTTGTTGTTATTCTTGGATGTGAACTTTTATTATGAATATTTTTGCATCTATGAATTAAGTAACACATTACTATATGACATGCTCTTATAAATTTGTAGTTTGATTAAAATTTTGAGGGATTTACATACATACCATCCAATACTATTATATGTATATATCTAGCATTTAAAATATTATGTTTACTTGTCGAATGCTTAAATCTCATTCAACACATCAAATATACCACCTTGTCTAGCGTGCTCGTTCTGTACCAATTCCTCCGTCAACTTCCACACTTAGCAGATGGAGCAAAGCTTGGTGAAAGTAGTGTCTTATAGGTAAAGGGTATGAAGCTTAACAAGGTAGCCACAATGACAACATGGGCTCAATGATGTCAGTGACAATGGGGACGATGGAGTTGAGAGGTGGGAGATCTGGAGGAGGGATTCAGCGAAGGTTTTATGTTCCGTTAATTTGGTACAAAAGGAGAGGTAGCGAGTTTGCATGGGAGTGTAGAGTGTGAGAGTTTATGGAAGAATAACATAGGAAGAGTGGGCTAGGTTAGATATGTACGAAGTAGTATATTTGATGTGTTGAAATAGATTTAGGTTTTAGATAAGTAAATATGAAATTTTAGGTGTTAGATATATAAATATAATGGTATTAGGTGGCATATATGTAAAAATCCTCCTAAAATTATTGCTCCTGTTGTTGTTCATCATGGTTAAATTGTCATGTATTGGTTTCAATAGTGCATGGATAAAGTAATTTTTGTCGCTCCAGCAAATTATTTATGCCAAGAAAAGGCACCGACTTGAATGTGGTTTTATGTTTAGACGCTAAAAAAGTAAAAAGTATCTTGAGATCTGATTTTGCACTAGTGCTTATTATCTAGGAATGTTATGGTAACTCTTTATTTGTAAAACGTGTTTAATATCTATTTGCTCTCATAACAGAAAGATTATAATTCCATTTATATGTTTTAAAATTCATGATGTAATTCATGGAGAAAGCATCTGCTACTGCACAGCTGTGCTGCATATTATAAAGTTAATTATTGATTTCGGGGAAGTAAGCAAGGTGATTGTAATTATGACTTGTTTTTCAATGGCTCTAGAACTGCAACTCATAAATCTAAATGGGATAATTTAGAATACTATAATTAATACTGTTGCAAATCTGAGATTATGGATTAGACTTTTGATGATAGCAAACATTCATGTTTTTCTACGACTGCCTTGCCTACTAATTTTTCAGGTCTATAAGATCGAGCGCAACTCAAGACCAGCTCAAGATCGGGTAGATTTAGTTTGAGTTAGTCTGTAATGTTTTCATTTTCTTGAGTCAATTGTAAAAGTGGTTCATGATGCTAAGTAACCTTGCACACACACACTTGAGGGATTTTCTATCTTTTTCTGTTTTGAGTACATCGGCCTGGACGATGTTCATATCGGCCAGGACGATCCGACTAAAAACAGAAACCTTAATTAGGGCATCCTGGTTAAGGCAACCGTCATTAAGCACATCGTCCTGGATGATCCTTGTATCGGTTAGGACGATAAGCTCAAATCAGAAAGAATATGCCGCCAGATCTAGTTAGGTAAAATTTATTTTAGGACATCGGCCAGGACGATCTCAACATCGGCCTGGACGATGCAGCATAATTATGCCTAAATTAATCTAGTAATTATGAAAAGCAATTAAGGCTGATTGATACGATCACATCGGCCGGGCCAATCGCAGGGTCGGCCGGGCTGATGTCCTGGACGATTGACATCGGTCAGACTCTATTCAGGCGATGTTCAGGACGATTATACTCGAATTTGAACTAATCGGCCAGAATGATATTATATCGGCCTGGACGATGTAACAAATTTTCTTCTAATCGTCTCAAATCGTCCCGGCTGATTGAGCTTAATTTGTACTGATCGTATATGATGATAGAAATATTGTCCTGGACGATAATGTCGGTTCTTGAAATTCTTTTTAAAGAACCTGAATTTTCTCATGCAAAAAGACCTTTAGCTACTGTCTTGACCTGAGAGAGCCAAGAGGGGAGGGAGAGAGAGGGAGAGAGAAGGAGGAACTTGTGAGGGGGAGTTTGTGAGAGGGATTCACAAAGGTTGCTCCAAGTAAGGTTCCAAGGCGTCTTCTCCAGTCTTCGTCCTTCGTCCTTGGGGGTTCAAGGGAGGTAAGCCTCAACAATTGGTCGAGGTTCTCTGCCTGCTTCAGGAGGAAGCAAAAGGAGTTGGGTTCTCTGCCTGCTTCAGGAGGAAGCAAAAGGAGTTGGGTTCTTTGCCTTGCCGGGGTTGGCGAAAAGGAGTTTTTGTGAGGGCTTCTCCGCCTTGCTGTGGGAGCAAAAGGAGAGTCACTTAGTTAGTGCAATACTCGGAGGGTGCCTCCAAGGAGTAGACGTAGGTCAAGGTTTGACCGAACCACCATAAATTCTCTGTGTTCTTTTCTTACTACGTTTCCTCATTTATTTTTCCGTACTTTGATTTCTGTGGTGATTTTGGTTTTAAGTTTTTGTGCTTTGATTGTATAAGAAGATTTTTTAAAATACCAATTCACCCCCCCTCTTGGTTAGTCTCGGGCTAGTTCTTAAGTGCTTAACATCCCTAATGAACTTTCAAATACAATTGCCCTTAGCAGTATATATTCTACTTCTACACCAGGATCGCTTAATTTTTAAAAAAAGCTTCTTGCTAATTTTTGTCAATGGTAGATCGTTATTTTTTTATGTTTTAATACTTAATTATGGGTTTTCTTTTTTCAATTCTCTGTAGCATTTGCTTTGGAGTTATTCTAAATGCATGAGTCGATTTCATGTGAATTTGTAGGTACCTCCTACGTTGAGGTTCATATTGGATGGAGAAATGCCAAGTTATTTGCTAGCTAAGGATTTAATTTTGCAAGTGAGTTTTTTTGTGTCTTTAATGTCTTTTATTTGTCAACTAAAAACTTAGTCCTGTATTTTGATTGGAAATTTTATTTTGTTTTTCAAATGCATCTTGAATACCTGGGAGTAATTTTCTTCAAATTTTACTATGCAGATAATTGGTGAAATAACAGTAGCTGGTGCCACATATAAGTCTATGGAATTCCTTGGCTCGACTGTTGAAAGCTTGAGTGTAAGTGCCATGATTTACATTACTCTCGTATGTCATTTTTAGATTATTGAAACTTCATGTTTTGTACTACTTAGATGGAAGAGAGGATGACATTATGCAACATGGTCGTAGAAGCTGGGGGCAAGAATGGGGTTGTCCCTGCAGATAAAACTACATTCAAATACCTCGAGGTAAGCAAGTCTAACAGTTTGGCACCTCTTTGATAAACCATAGAGTGTTCTTTCTGCACTGCAAAACCAATTGATTAGAATCAAATGAGAAAATATATTGCCTGGGGTGTAGGTTTTTCTTTAACCAATTCTAATACCATATATGCAGGATAAGACTTCTGTGGAATATCAACCTGTGTATAGTGATGAAAATGCCAGGTAAATTTTCTCTTTTATCTTAAAGATTAGCATATTAAATCTGTTTGTTTATAAATTTTGACAAATTCGCTTCTTCAATTCCCTTACAAGATTAACAATGTGACCCTTTTTAATGTAGTACATTGTCTCCTTGTTTTGTGAAACTATTTCATGCATGGTACAAGAAGAATGAAATATGTTAAATGGTTCATTTGTAGAATGTAGTGGGTTGGGAGAATTCCTTCCATGAACTTCCCCAAAATTAGCTTTGATTGCATACTCATTATATCTTGCTATGCCATTCTTTTTTAGTCAAGTTTAACAATCTTACATGCTGAATTTAAGTTAAATTGCACAAGCTGTTAATAATTTTGATGATCATCATCAGTAGCCTTGTACCAATTATTTGGTGTAGGCTTTAACTAATCAACATTTTTCATTAGATCCCGCTGATTGTTGCTCAACAATTCTGATTATGAAATTTGTATATTAAGATTTCCTTCATAATAAATGTGTGGTGAATAATTCTGTTACATGGTGCCTTATAATACTGCTAAATTTTTAACATTACTGCTGTTATAAGTATTGATCAGCATGTGAATCTTGCAGGTTTATTCAAGATTACAAATTTGATGTCTCAAAGTTGGAACCATTGGTTGCAAAGGTTTGTGGATACCTTATTAAATAAGTATAATTGTTCATATTGGTATATTTTAATATTGGAATCCTTTCTTATTTGTTTTCCCATGCCTGTTTAAAACTGGCAGCTCAAATTCATACAATTCCTTCTTTAATTCTGCTCCTTTTATTACAGCCACATTCTCCGGATAACCGTGCTCTAGCAAGAGAATGCAAAGATGTGAAAATTGACAGGGTATACATAGGATCATGCACCGGAGGAAAGACCGAGGATTTTATGGCTGCTGCAAAGGTTTTTCTAGCCTCGGTAAGGCCATTGTTTCTGCTTTGCTATCTATACCATTTATATCGTCTATATTTTTTTTATAGCAACATATTGCTGAAGACTGTTACAGCTTAATAACCATCTACATGCTCTTTATTGCTTAGGAAATTTTATTAATTTCTGTGTAATTTTCACTCTTCTAAATTATCTCATGTATTTTACGGTTTTTACCGTTGTATTGGATGGCATTTATTTGTTCTTGCTTAATGATTTAGGAATTCAATTATTTATCATCACTGTACATTATTTTATGAATGCAGTTCGCTATTAGTTTGAGACTAATGATAGTCACGAAGAAATGTCTCTTGAGATAATTTTGTTTAGAGAAAAAATATGTTATTTTCAAGAGTAATTGACTTTTTTTGTTTACACTGAATGTTGGGTTGTTTTCTAGTTCCATTTAGATATAATTGTGGCTTTATTCTGTTTTTTTAATGAACTTGGGTTTGGTTCTGCAAATTGTTTTTGGTTCATTTCAAATATCATTGCTTTCTATTTTGGTTCAGTTTTATGAATTATATTTCGCTATTTATTACATTTAGTTGTACTTGAAATGTGAAATTTGTTTTGTGTAAATCTTTTTACATAACTTTCTAGTAATATTATTTTCGGTCTTCTCCTTTTTCTTTCAAAATATTTTCACATTAATTCTATCTTATTATTGGAGAATTTTATACTCTTCACATATGTGCTCGAACCATCTTCATTTATTCTTCATTAACGTATCTTCAATAAGTGATATTTCCATCATCTCTCATATATTATAATTTCTCATTAAAGGTTTGTTTGGTTGTCTAAAAAGGAATGCAGTATAAAATGAATACTTTAGAGTTATTTGGATGAGTGTAAAATGAATGCATGTCTTTAAGTTTTTTTTTTTTTGTGAAGTAAAGTGAATGCAATTTAAAGTTTAAAGAGTTGTGACCGGGGTGGTTGGTGGGCAGTGGCGGTGGTTGGTGGTGGACAGTGATGGGTGGCGGCCGACAACGGGGTGGGGGTGGAGATGGTGGCCGTTGGTGGTGCTCAAACAAGCTTTGGAGTGATGTAATTGGTTTTCGCTCAAAATTAGGCAGAACAGTTTACCTCAAAAATGAACTATAATGGAATACACTGCATTCACTTTACTTCATCTAACATTCAGTATTATTTAGTTACACATTTTCATAATGCGCAGGGAAAGAAGGTTAAAGTCCCCACATTTCTTGTCCCAGCCACACAGAAGGTATATATATCTTTGATTCATTTCTTCGAGCATTAAAGTCAGATATCTGAGTGTCCTAAACTTCTTCCTTCAACATTTTGAAGGTCTGGATGGATCTCTATGGGCTCCCAGTTCCAGGATCTGGCGGAAAGACCTGTTCCCAAATATTTGAAGAAGCTGGTTGTGATACTCCCACAAGTCCTAGCTGTGGTGCTTGCTTGGGTGGCCCTCGAGATACCTATGCTCGCATGAATGAACCTCAGGCAAGTTCCAACTACCCTTTGTTCTTTTGCTGAATCAGTAGACATTCAACCTTGTTATATTTTTTTGAAGCCGAATGTTTAGAGGTTTAAATGAGCCGAGTTTGTGCGTGCAGCTTTGCACGTAAAGCTAACAAACCAAAATTTTTTGTGTTTGACTCATTAATTTATCAAGCTGAACATGAGTTGTTCACAACCATGATATCTGCTTTATGCTTGAATGTTATATATATAGTTTATAAAAACTAGTCAAAATCAAACTTTATATATATATAATCAATTTATTATCTAGCCGAATATGATTAAACAAGGTCTTGTTTGTATTTGGCTCGTTAAATATATGAACTTATAAAAATTAGTTAAATCCAAGCTAATTATCAAGCTGAATACAATTGAACATAAATGAATGAGTTTTTGTAACAAACCTACTGAATGCTGTGAGATGTTTGAACCTTGATTACTGATTGAGTAGTTATGCAGGTTTGTGTTTCAACTACCAACAGGAATTTTCATGGCAGAATGGGGCACAAAGACGGTCAAATTTACTTAGCTTCGCCATATACAGCGGCTGCATCAGCATTGACCGGCTTTGTAACCGATCCAAGAGAGTTCTTGCAGTAAAAGATTGGGCTCATTATAGTCATGGAAGCTCTGTTAATCATAATTTGGATTGGATTGTTCGACGGGCTTTGTTGTCTGTTAATGATAGAACTATTTATGCTCAAAGTATGATCCAATCCATGGTTAGGAGAGAAGGAATCTGGCAAGAGTCTTGCAATTATGGTCAAGAATTAGTGACTTTTCAGGAGTTGTTTGTATTTGAAGGGGTCTAAACTATATCTAAGGTCAAGCAACGTGAAGTTATAATCAGGAGTTCTTTTCTTCCTGTAGGCTGAGCCATTTGTGATGTTACTGGTAATCTTAATTTGCTTCGAAATAAGATGAGTTTCTGCTCTGTTTATATTCATTTGTATTGATATATTGATTATTGGCTTCAGAAAGTTTTCGATGTGTGATCTATCTAGCTCAAAAGCTGTAGATAGAATATGATTTCCTGCAACTGCAAGAGTTTGTATGGCCTCAGCAACTAAGTTCTTGAAAGAAATGTTGCTAATATCTAATTTAAAGAGTTAAATGTACACTTGTGTGCTGGAATATTGTGATAAAAGAGGATAGGAGATAGATTTTATGTGAAAATTTGAGAAGGAAAACAATTATGAGGTTTGGCCAAAGTGATTATAGTTTGTACTGGTTAGTTCTGAACTATATAGGATTGCCTTTTTCTTTTAGTGGATGAAGTGTTAGAATGATACTAGAAAGGGATGTGAAAGATTTGAGTATCTGCCTAATCAAGCTAAATAATAGGTTATTTAGTTCTTACCGAGTTCGAGCTTGAGCTTTAGTTCTATTCAAGCTCGCTTGCTAAGCTCAAGCTTGATCTGTTAAAAATTTCATAAGCTCGAGCTCAACTTAATTGCTTGAGCTTGTTTGGAGAGTTTGAACTCGTTTGGAGAGTTAGAGATCGACTCAATTATAGAGCTCAATTTTATGATTTTAAATAAAAAAAAATTGTTTCTTTTTATAAATTTTTTATTTTTAATATAAAGTTAATTTAAAACAATAAAATATATTATATAATGTTAATTTGAATTAATTTTTAAATATATTTTAAATTAATCAAATAGTTAAATGCGAGCTAAACTAGGCTAAAGCTTGAGCTCAAGCTCGTATGTTTAATATACGAGCTTGAGTATAGGCTCGATAAGTTTGACTTGTGAGCTTGATAATGAGTTGAGCTCGAGCTGGCTTACCTCACTTACACCCCTAATCATAGATCTAAAGTATGATGAACATTATTAGAAATTAATGTGGATGAAGGTGCAGAGTAATTGAGAAGGTCACTAGTTTCCAAATAATGGAAGATATTGCATAAGCTGAAGTAGGAGGACGATTGGAAGTGGTTGAGTTTATCCCTCTCCTGGATGAAGAGAGAATTGGACAATCTAAGTCTAGTAGTGGCACCAAATGGTTAGAGTTGTCCCTCCACTAAAAAAGATGGAGAATTGTTGTTCTAGAGTTAGCAAGCAAGTAATGATGGTTGGGGCATTCCCTCCCATGAAAGGAGGGGAATTTGAGTGCTTGGAGTTGATGATTGACTAAGGCGACTGGGGTTGTCCCAATCTTGGATGGAGGTGGAATTACGCAATCAAAAGTCTGGGTAATGCAAATCAATACAGTTTGGAAAATTGTTTAGATCGAGGTAGGTTGATGTTACCCTATTTTATATTTCAATTTGGTGGCTATTTTGTGGATTATTAGTATATGATTTGGTTAGATTCCGTACAAATTCAAATTTATGATGATTTGAAAATTTTTATCACGTAACTTCTAATATGATGTAGAATATAATATTCTAGTTATATTAACGTGTATAAATTAAATTTTCATTGAATATTTTTGTTTATATGACATTTTAAGCATTTTAACTAGTATTTGATACTGATAAAAGATACTACAGAAAGATTAAAAAATTTAAAATATTATTATTTTTATTTCATGTGAATAGTTTTGTACTTTGAAAGTGTTGAAAATGTGTATAACCCCCGTGATGCCCTATTATTTGCGTACATGTTAAATTTTGTATAACTCTATAATATTTCATATATTATTTAGATGTGTTGAAAGCATTTTACATTTCTATGCTCATATGTTTGAAATGTGTGAAAAAAAGGAAAGAAGGAGAAAAAGCATTTATGTCATTATGGATACTTTATATGCATTCCATATAATTTTATGATATGACATATTGAAAGTAATGATATTTCTATGCTCATACTAAAAATATTGATATTTGCACATGTTGAAAGTATTGATGTTTTTATGCTCATACTGAAAGTACTGATATCTGTACATAATAAAAGTATTGATATTTCTATACTCATGCTGAAATTATTGTTATTTGTATATGTTGAAGTATTGATATGTTTTCTAATACTGAAAGTATTTGTTGAAATTTGGGAGTCAGACCTAATATTTTAATGATTACAAATTTTATTGACATGATTATTACTTGCTCCTGCTTTGTACACACTGTATGTTTTCTTTTGTTTGTCACTAACCATTTTAGATCGAGTTAGGGTGAAGAATCAGACTCAAGATAGTACAACATCTAAGTCGAGTCAGTTTATAATAATAGTGTTACACCCCGAATCTAATTTGAAAATAATTAAATCTTTTATATTTTAATAAAAATAATCATAGCTAACTAATTTATGCCAATAAAGTAATACGAGTGAAAATCAATCTATTGATCAAAATATTATCGTTCAGCACATCTCAGCATCAGAATCCAACGGTTCAAATTAAACCAATAATTGTGCTTCATACTGTACAAACCACCTCTATACTATACAAATGACGTGCCACTAAAATTGTTGGGACAAAGTTAATGTGGTTGATACGATCTTTAATTACACATCATATTGTAGGAACAAATATTCAAACTGGATGATCTATCTAGCCAATGATCGTACAGAAGATCCCTCAGGGTGAATGGCAAGACGAAGATCTTTTCTTATAATATTTGATTGTATTGGATGATTTGACCATCTTTATATTATTTTGGACATGATTATTTGGATTTTATTATTCATATTATATGGCCACCGTCATATTGTACAATTAAATAGAGCCTATAAATGGAAGGGAAAATTTCATTTCAAATCACACCTTCCTCTTTTCCAATCTTCTATCCTTTTAATTTCTTATCCCTAGCATTCCTGATGGCCGGCAAGTGAGAAAGACTTCTCTTAGGGCGTCCTCTCGACCTATGGCAGATGATCACTTTCTATTTGAAGAGGATGTCACTACTTACCAAAGATATTGAGATGCCACAATCACTACCTCTAGGATCCTAAATCAAGAAAATCTTCAATATTAGGTAATTGACATTTTTATAGGCACTACACTACATTTTCTCTTGACATTTGCCTTCCCTTTCAATGGTAAGTTACTATTTAAATTTTTGCAAGATTAAGGATAAATATTGAATGTAAATCTCTCCAATATTATGTATGTAGGTGCCATAAATAAATTACCTATCAAAACTTTCACGAGCACCTTAATGTGTCTACCACTAGCACAAAACCCATAATATATCCACTAATAATAACTATAACTAGACCCAAGCAAACCTTACCCTTAGGAGTACCCCCATGAACATTCACCAGCCTTTAGTGAGCACGTTAGTCTTAAATGCACATGTTATTCAACATGTTCATAGAGATTCTATTGTACCCAAAGATGTGAAACCCTTTAAGTAAAAAGAAGCTAAATTCTTAAATATCGAGGTGTCTTGGAGTAATGGTTAGAACTTTATTAAGAAACTTTATAGTTAAGCATGCTCATCCTGAATAAATCTTAGGATGTGTGATTTTCTGGGAAGTTACTCCAATAGGACAAACCGTGAGGCCCTTACGCCAAAGCAAATAATATCTCGATAGTTAAGAATTTTGATTAAAAAATTTATCAGAGCAATATACTATCTGAAAGATGGAAATTAAGTTTCATACAAGATAAAGTGTTATGCCCTGAGAGTCACCTCTTGAATATTGTATGGAACAAAGTGATGTGTGGCGGGAGTCAACACTTGAACTTGTAGGGACCACATTTAGAATCTTATATGCATGTGGATAATTATGAGATAAAAATACTGATTATGACGTTAGTTACTTAAGTGGAAGAGATTGTAAAACCTTTTAAGTAAAAAAGAACCAAAACTCTTAAACATTGCTTTTTGATGTAATTGTTGGAATTTCATTAAGAAACTCCACAGTTAAGAATGCTCATCCTAAAGAAAACTTGGGATGGGTGACCTCTTGAGAAGTTATACCAATAGGACAAAATTGTGAGGCCCTTATGCCAAAGTGGACAATAGCCGGTGATATAATCAACATCACCCCACTATTATCCATGGTTATATATTTATGTATAAATACCATTGAATTTAATGTCGTTGGCGTGATTACTCATTATATAGAAAACTTGACACTATTAGGAATCCTAGGGCATGTCATAGGCAAAATATAACATTAGGACATATCATAACCTACCTATTAGATGCAAATTATAGCCTGATCTACCCTTCTCCAACTAATCACTTCCCAGTATAATTCATGGATAGCTCCTTCCATCTCCTCTATAGTGATAAAAGCTAAGAACCACTGCTTGTAGAGGTGCATGATTCTAAAGAGGAAGCGGAAACCACCACCTCCTAACTTGTGGATTGAGCATTTTGAACACTTAGAGCTAAGATTAGATACACATATTTAGGAGTTAGTAGTACATTAGGAACAACTTCTGCAGTAACACGAGGGTGATCATGCTTGATTTCAGGAGCAATTCTCTTCACTGAATTGATACTTTCAACCGCCACCACCACCTGATTAGGGTTTGTTTGATGAGTAGTTTATTTTCTTAGTACCTTATCTCATTGTACTTTGTTGTTTAGTCTTTCTTGTCATGTTGTAACCTTGTTTTTAGCCTCTCCTTTTTAGTGATGTCTGTTGACCTCATTTTTGTCTTGATTTTCCCTCGAGCATATTCGAGCGAGTTGATCGAGTCTCGTCGAGCTCGATTCAATTCGAATCGACATCAATTTGAGTTTTGTTGCTATTAAATTAGTGTAATCAACCCGCATCGCTTGATTTGAGTCGAATTGAGTTCAATTTTAAACCCAAGTTTGACATGGATTAACCCAATTAGTTTTGGCTTAGTGCCAATTTGCTTTTAAAGAAATTTGAACTATTTTCTAGATCAGGCCCTTTGATCCGACGGCCCCGATCTCCCTGCTCTTCTTCTAGTGCCCTAATCGAGGCTAAAAAGCCTCCATCTCACGCCGAATCCCCGGCTCTCAGGCGGCGCTCCCCATTTTCTCTCTCGGGTACTAGTAAGGGGGAGAGCCGAAGA